CCGCACACCCATTTCGGCAAACCCCATCACACGTTTCGTGGCCCCATAGGGAGCTCCACCGAAGGCCCCAGTGCTGCCGTCCGCATGCGTCCCGCACACTCATTTCGGCACACCCCTCACACGTTTCGTGGCCCCATAGGGAGCTCCACCGAAGGCCCCATGGCTGCCGTCCGCATGCGTCCCGCACACCCATTTCGGCACACCCCTCACACGTTTCGTGGCCCCACAGGGAGCTCCACCGACGGCCCCAGTGCTGCCGTCCGCATGCGTCCCGCACACCCATTTCGGCACACCCCTCACACGTTTCGTGGCCCCACAGGGAGCTCCACCGAAGGCCCCATGGCTGCCGTCCGCATGCGTCCCGCACACCCATTTCGGCACACCCCTCACACGTTTCGTGGCCCCACAGGGAGCTCCACCGAAGGCCCCAGTGCTGCCGTCCGCATGCGTCCCGCACACCAGGTGTGTGGCGTGCCGACATGGGCGTCGCGGCGCGCGGGCGCTGCCGTCGGGGTTCCCAGGGAAGCCCCCTGCAGAGGCGACGCTCAGAGTCACGAGTACCGAGAGTCACGCAGACCCAAACTGTTCACAGTCGTATACATACATTTACACTGGGCGTATCCATGCACGCATTCATGCGAATAGAAGCAATCGCGCGCAGATTCATTCATAATCAGACTCGCTCGCGATCCGACTCGCACGCGCTCAAGCTTTCATATTCGGACCTATCGTCTTCGTTCGTGTTGTGTACACTGCCACGCATTTCGGCACACCCCTCATACGGCTCGTGGCCCCATAGGGAGCGCCACCGAAGAAGATATTCACAATTGCGGTACTCTCAACTGCATATGGTTGGGTCCTTCGCCAGGCTATTTTTTGATCCTGGAGGACAGGGTCGTCTAAATTGAACCTTCCAGAATGTTTGCTATTTGGGATCCTAGAGGCAATGCTTGTTTTGTATATGTAGATATACACATACATACATATACATGTATATATACACATATTTATATATTATATATATAATATCAAAGGAACCCCTCCTGACTCCTCCTGCCACTTCTCAGAACGGTTTCCGCCCTTCCTGACCCTGACTCCTCTTCTGAAGGGCCCCCGCCCCCGGGAACCCATCCTGACCCCTCCTTCTCAGAAGGGTTCCCGCCCGCTGAACCCTCCCTGGGAGCCCCGCCCGACCCCTCCTCAAAAGGGTTCCGGCTCCCCGACCCCCGGGACCCCCCCCCGACCCTCTCTGACTTTCCCAGGAAGGATTTGTTGGATCCTGGAGGAGGAGCTCATGGAACAAACAACCTTCCAGGAACGTTTTTTTTTGGATCCTGGAGGAAGGGTTAGTTAAACACAAAGATTCCAGGAGGGTTTTTTGATCCTGGAGGATGGGCTCGTTTTTGATTATCCCAGTGCGACCCTACCTAGGAGTTGGAGCCTCTAGGAAAGCAACATGAGTAGGAGCGGTAAACGCCGTCCTCCTCCTCCTCCTCATCGTCGTAGTTGTAGCAGTAGCGGTAGTAGCGGTAGTAGTAGTAGTAGTAGTAGTAGTAGTAGTAGTAGTAGTAGTAGTAGTAGTAGTAGTAGTAGTAGTAGTAGTAGTAGTAGTAGTCAGTAGTAGTAGTCAGAAGTAGTAGTAGTAGTAGTAGTAGTAGTAGTAGTAGTAGTAGTAGTAGTAGTAGTAGTATTAGTAGTAGTAGTAGTAGTAGTAGTAGTAGTAGTTAGTAGTAGTAGTAGTAAGTAGTAGTAGTAGTAGTAGTAGTAGTAGTAGTAGTAGTAGTAGTAGTAGTAGTAGTAGTAGTAGTAGTAGTAGTAGTAGTAGTAGTAGTAGTAGTAGTAGTAGTAGTTCGTCGCGTCGTAGTCGTTTAGTCGTAATAGTAGTAGTCGTAGTAGTAGTAGTAGTAGTCGTAGTAGTAGTAGTAGTAGTAGAAGTAGTAGTAGTAGTAGTGTAGTAGTAGTAATCGTATTAGTAGCAGTAGTAGTAGTAGTAGTCGTCGTCGTAGTAGTAGTAGTAGTAGTAGTAGTGAGTAGTTGCTGTGGTTGTTGTGTAGTGCAAGTTCGTAGTAGTAGTTGTAGTAGTCGTCAGTAGAGTAGTTAGTGAAGTGGTAGTAGTAGAAGTAGTAAAGTAGTAGAAAGTAGTTTAGTAGTGGTAGTAGGAGTAGTAGTAGTAGTAGTAGTAGTGTAGTAGTAGTAGTAGTCGTAGTGTAGTCGTAGTCTTAGTCGTAGTCGTAGTAGTAGTAGTACTAGTAGTAGTAGTAGTAGTAGTAGTAGTAGTTAGTAGTAGTAATAGTAGTAGTAGTAGTAGTAGTAGTAGTAGTAGTAGTAGTAGTAGTAGTAGTAGTAGTAGTAGTAGTAGTAGTAGTAGTAGTAGTAGTAGTAGTAGCGCCAGAACCGCCGACGCCACGCTATGCTATGCTATGCTGTGCTAGGCTCTGCTATGCTATGATATGTTATGCGATGCTATGCTATGCTATGATATGCGATACTGCGCAATGATATGCTGGGCTAGGCTAGGCTAGGCTAGGCTATGCTATGCTATGCTATGATATGCTGCGCTATGCTATGCTGCGCTATGCTATGCTATGCTATGATATGCTTTGCTATGCTTTTGATTTGCCTTCGCTTTTGCCTTCACTCCTGCCTTTGCTTTTGCTTTTGCTTGGCGCCCAGGGAGCGCAACTAGGGGAACCGCGCGTTTGCTTTTACCTTTGCTGTTGCTTTTGCTTGGCTCCCAGGGGACTGGGGGGACCGCCCGGGGCGATTTCCACTGCCCGGCCTCTTTAAGCCAACAGAGTAAGAACCCGTCTAGGCAGAGCCTAGGTAGGGAAAAAACATCTCCAGGGAAGTTTTTTTTGGATCCTGGAAGATAGGTTCGTTCAGCAAAACGAAATGCTGTCCTGGGTGGGGGGGCGCATGTGGACACCGCCACTGGGGCCTTAGGTAGAGCTCCCCGAGTGGGGGAAACGCGTGTGGACACCGCCACTGGGGCCTAAGGTGGAGCCCCCTCTGGGGCCACGAAACGTTGAGCAGGGTGGGGGGGGGGGGGGCGCATGTGGACACCGCCGTTGGGGCATTCAGCGGAGCTCCTTATGGGGCCACGAAGCGCTGTAAGACGCACTGCTGCAAACAGTCGCACTAAGCAGAGGTCCGGAACCCGACCCCCCCCCCTCCCCCCCCCCCTTTTCCTCCCACTGTCGAAATGCAGAAAAAAAACGCTCATAAGGGCAGCAGGTCGTGGGAGAGCTCCCAGATGGTCTCGGGCGCCGTCAGCGGCAGGAACGTCGCAGGGCTGGCGCAGATCACCGAGGGCACCAACGCCCCGCAAGGGCAGCGCAACAGCTGGAGCGCGCGTCCGCCCGCGCTCGCTTCAGCGAAGACGGCGAATGACCGCGAGGTGCAAGTCGCTCTCCCCATCGAATCGCGCGCGCGACCCGCTGGCCCTCGATCGCCGCGCGGGTCAGCGAGTCTTGAACGCGCCAACAAGATCTTCGCTCAGCCACGCGCCGGCCCTCGATCGCCACGCGGGTCAGCGAGCCTCAGCGGCAGCGAGCCTCGAACGCGCCAACAGAATCTTCTCTACTCCAGATTTCACGATAAAAGGAGGGTGGTCTGATTTGGGATGGGGTCAGATTTGAGCTGTCTTGGAGGGTTCCAGTGGGTCTGGGCAAAGAGCCGCCCTTCATGGCTTGTTTGGGGGGGTCTGGAATTGCCCGTCTGTGAGGGTTGTGACCCCCGCCCTTTTATGGCGAAATCTGGAGTGCTCAGCCACGCGCTGCCCCGCAGGGCTCGCCCGCCGGGCGAGCTCCGCACGCGCGTCCAGGGGATCCGCCCCGCCGCGCGGCGCGACGCCTCCTCCTCCTCCTCCTCCTCCTCCTCCTCCTCGTCCTCCTCCTCCTCCTCCTCTTCCCCCTCCTTCCGTAGCCATTTTGGCTCAAGCCATTTCGGCTCAAGTTCGAAACGCCTCCCTGGCGCTTCGAACATGTTCGCGGCCGAGGGGGCGGCTCAGAACGCCCTTCTTGCGAGGGCAGTCCTCGCGGCACTTGAGCTTCATTGCTCGTGCCTTGTGGCCGCGACCTCAGGTTTCGCCAGTTTTCGTGCTCACCTCAGCAGCCATGGCCATTTCTCCTGAGCTGCAGGCCTCGCTTGAGGTAATGTTCGAGAAGCAGAAGAACTGCATCCGCGAGGTGGTCCAGCAGGAGATTCAGACGGCGGCGCCAGGTTTGCAGGGGCAGATCTCCACGCAGGGAGCCGAACTGAGTGCATTCCGAGCCGACCTCCAGAAGCGCAGCGAGCGACTGACGGCGCTCGAAACCAATGGCAGCACGACAGGGAGCACACGGACTGCACACAGCTACCAGTCTTCGTTGATGAGCGGTCCTTCAGTTCGACAGTTTCACGGAGACAAATCTAGGAGAGTGACGCCAGTGATCGACCTCGAGAGCGACCCTTGCATCCGTTTCGCGGGCACATTCCCGAGGCCGTTGCCGATGAAGACGCGCCTAGCCCACTGGCGCCAGATGCAGGAGCACTACCCCGAGCTCAAGGACGACGAGCGGGTGACCGCCGTCTTCCACGGGGTGAGCCAGGTCTACAAGCTGAAGTTCGTCAACGAAGATGACGCGAGGAGCTTCCAGACCAAGATGAACGACGTGAACATGGAGTGGGTGGACTTCCGCGACGGCAAGAAGTACCCGCTCAGAGTCCGGGGCGATTTTGCCGCTCCACGTTCGCCAGAAGAAGAGGGCCTTCTCGGGGCTCTACTGCGACGTGCTCACGAAGTTGCAGGCCAGTCGTTCGTGGACGGGCAGGTGCAAACTAGGTGTCAACGGGCGCAAAGGGGTCTTGCAGGTGGTAAGGGGCGACGACGTCCACGAACTAGAGCAGGCAGCGCAGCAGGGAGAGGGCACCTTCAAGCTAGAGCCGATCTACCCGAGCTTGCTGCGCTTGAATATCACGAAGGACGTGATCGATGAGCTCATCGCCGCTCTTTGAACGGCGAGCACAGGGCACCTCAGCCATGAATGTGAGAGCTCAGGCTCGGCAGCGCGCGGGGTTTGCAGCGCCCAGCCTTGTGCTCTAGAGCCGCATTGTGCTTTTTCCCCCCCTCCCTCGCCGCCAGCCAGTATTAGAACAGAAGCATCGTTTTTTCCCCCCCCCCCCCCCCCCCCCCCTTCCCAATGTTCTTACTGCGTACTTGATGCAGCGTTTCGGATATCGGCGTGGAACTCTCAGGCCCTCATTGGGTCGATGTGTGCCGATCAAATTCGTGTTCAACACAAGTTTCATAAACGTCATGCCGTTCTCCAGCGAAATCAGATCGCGTGCCTACAGGGAACTCATGGTGCTCCAGGGGACGTGCCGCAACTCGAGCGTGATTTCAGGTATCACTCTGTCTTTGGCTCCTTCTGCCCACGTGCTTCTGCTGGTGGCCTCCTCATTTTTGTTGCCAGCGAGTTGCTGAGAGACTTCCCCCACTCCGACTTCCAGGAGATTGTGCCAGGCCGGGCTGCAGTTTTGGAATCTGAGCGGTCCCACTGGGGAGTTGCACATCGTCAATGTCCACATTGGCCCCGAACTTCCTGACCCCGCGGTCCGAAGGCAGTTTTCGGTTATTAAATCCATCCTGAGGCCCACTCTGCACTCCACGTCCTTCGTCCTTGGGGATTCCAACTGCCGCGAGTCAGGGGAAGGTCGGTTCAATGCCACTCACGGGGCCGAGCGCTTCGTGTCCGCCAGGCGTGCCGCTCGATTTCGCTCTCTCGTTCCTCAACACGCAGAGCTTGAACAGCCACAGTACGCGCATCGGCGCTTCATCACACAGCCTACAGAATCAATATCTTATGGTAGATTGGACAGACTCTATTGCAGCATCCCTACTCCAGAGGTCCTAGTCCTTTGCCCTGCCTGTAACACGACATGGAACATCGCTGATCTCACCTTCCCCTCCGATCACGCCCCCGTGTGCCTCTCGCTGCAGCCCTGGAAGCCGCGCCGCGAGACGTGCCTTCCGCCCTGGGTGTTCATGCGCCACTCCTTTGCGAAGTACTTTGAAGACTTTGCAGAGGGTCAAGATTTCAGTTCCGATCCAGCCGAGAAGCTGGAGGAAATCAAGTTGCTGATCGCTGCTGCTGGCCGACATGTTTAAAACCTCAGCCTCCTCCCTGGCAGAGAAGTTGGCGTGCTGTCTCAGACTTGTCCGTGCTCACAGGTCTGGGCTCTGTAGAGCAGCAGCTGAAGCAGTTCATGCTTACCCCATCCTCCTCACCTTCTACGATCACGAGAATATGATTTGGAATGAATGGTCTAGCTTCCATGCCCACCTCTCCCCCTCATGAACCAGGAGCTCGCGAAGTAAGAGGGGAACCTCATGGACCCTGATGGCAACCCTCAGCTCAACGCAGATTTTCACCTGATGATGATAAGACGGCTGGCAGAGGTTGGAAGTCGAAACAGAGAACCGTCTGTCTCCGTGGGATCGTGGATCATAACGGGTTCGCCCATACTGAACCCTCGGTGTGTGCGCAGCTGCTTTGTTCTCATTGGGGCAATGTCTTTGGCGCCTGGAAAGGTACCGCGGATCCTGGGGGCCAATTTCTGGAACTCGTTCCCCCCATGGACCCCGACGAGTACCAATGCGCGAATTCGACTCACCAAAGATTTCCCTGGAGGAAAACTTTCGACCAGTTCCTGGATCTCCTGCGCAGGAGAAAGGATTCTGCCCCAGGCCCGACGGCTTGTGCTACAGCGCTTGGAGAGCTGCTGGACCTGTGGCCCGGGAGGCATTGTTCGAGCTCTACGAGCACGTCCTAGACGGCGGCCGTGTGAGCAGCGAGTTCAAAGCTGCTCAACTCGTTTTCCTGGCCAAAGGTGAAATTGATGATCCTGAGAATGTTCTCGAGGGGGCCGGCGAAACGCGTCTCATCGCCCTATCGAACACCGATGGCGAGATCATATCGTCGCTGATCGCCTCGCCCATCGCCCAAGTTCTAGCTGATCGGGGGCATTCGTCACAGAGAGGGTTCGTTAAGGGAAGGAACATCATGGACAACGTGCTAGAGGTAGACTTTAACATGATGTTATGGAAGACCGTTCTCGGCCATAGAGACTGCGGCGCATGTCTCCATGATTTTCGCGCCGCCTTTCCGTCCGTATTGCGCGAGTGGGTCTGGAGAGCTTTGCGTTCTTATCGGTTCCCTGAGTTTCTCATCATTGCGATTCTGACCCTGTGCCAGAATATGCTTTGTTGGATTCACTTCAGAGGCTCCCCCAAGTTCTCGTTCACGGCCCTGAGAGGAGTTAAACGAGGATGCCCATTATCTGGTGTATTATTTGTTCTGTGCCTAGATCCACTGCTGCGCTTTATCAGCCTGATCCCCGCGGACTTGCCGAAACAAGTCTCCGCGTTCGCAGATGACCTCGGCTTGGTGGCCGCGGACATTTTTCGTGCGCTCGGCCCTGTCACCCGCGTGATCGCGCAGTTTGGCTTCTCCTCGGGTTTGATTTTGAACACCGCCAAGCGTGTGATAATCCTCGCTGTCCCTGGCAAGCTGGAGAATGCCGTTGCCAAGTTCAAGGAGGCAGGGATCAAAGTGCACATGTTTAAGATTCAGCTTTTTGGGAAGTACCTTGGATTCATTCTGGACCGTTCCTGGAAAACCGTTGGTGCCAAACTTCTGGCTCGGGCCCACATGGTATTTTTTTCTTTGGGGGGCCTAGCTACCAGTCTCGTCGCCCGCAACAGGTATGCACTCCCTGTTGCCTCATATATTGGTCAATGCTTTCGGCCCGACAAATTCGCGCTCCGAATGGAGAGGGAGGCGCGCCAGCTGTATACGTGCAGCCCTCGCCACTCTTTCCCGCGTGGATTGTTTCATCGTTTTCAGGAGCTCGGCCTAGGCGTGCAAGCGAATTCTCTCGAGGTACAGAGCCGCGCTGCCAGGCTCAGGGTTGCGCACAACTCCCCCCTCTTCCACAACCTAAGGGAGAAGCTACGTGAGGCCCTTGAGTCTGATGAGTTCCTCCTCGCCCACAGCTATGATGTGCAGTATCGGCGCTCCCTTTTCGTGCAGTTGATGGAGGACTACGAGTCGTCCATCTTTATTCCTCGGCTTCCTGATCCCTGCGTGCCCAAGCGGGTGCAGAAAATATTGGCCGAGATGATATCTGCTGACGCTTACGCGAACCCAGTCTCCTTCATTCTGTACCCGAGAATCAAAGCATGGGTTCCCTGCATTTCGAATCAGCAGTTTGACATGTGTTTTATTCGTGTTCTTCGGGCAGCTCAAATTGTTCCTGGATTTATCTTTGTCGGGCTGTTAAAAACCATAATTAACAGCTGGAGCACGAAGGCGCTACAGGCAAGGGCAAGGTATATGTGTATTTGGGTGCTCATGTGTTGGAGGCGACGATGTCCCCCATTATTTGAGCTGTGGCGTATGTCGCCCCGGCCTTCAACGCCTCCTCCCTGCTCTTCCTGATGACTACGGTGAAGATCCCCTGAGTTCCTTCTTCCTTCACCTTTTTCCACCTCTCGGGCCCCGATGCTCTGCCTAGCTATCTTGTTGCATTGGGCGCCATCCATTCGCCCTTTCCAGGTTTGCGCGCCCCCCCCCCCCTCCCAGCAATTCGCGCAGCAAGTCATGCAGGGTGGGCTCCGAGTGTCTTTCAGGCGTTCGCCTAAGCCGCAGGGCCTTCTTCGCTAGGCCGTGGGCAAGCAGGGCGCAGCTGGGTGGGGCCCCTCCTCCTCCCCCCCCTCCTCCTCCTCCTCCTCCTCCTCCTCCTCCTCCTCCTCCCCCGCCGCGCGGCGCGCGCCCGATCTCCTCGGGCGCCGCTGGCGCCGCGTGGGCGCCGCTGGCGGAGAAAGCATCGATCGCGCCCGGCCGTCGCGCGCCGGCCCCGCGAGATTGTCGCGCGAAGTGGCGGCCTCTTGAGGCGCTCGAGGCCGTCTTGGACCGTCGCGGAGGCCTCTCAGGGCCCACTTGGCCCGTCTCAGGGCGCTGGTGGGCTTGAGAAAGTAGGCCCGAGGGAACCGCGCCAGGCCCCGGGAGATTTGTGGATTTGGGCTCTGGGCTTCTGAAAGGCCCCTTAGGACTGAGGACTGAGGCTCCAGGGATCAGGCGAAGGACCTGAGGACACGCCCACTCCGTGGCCCGAGGCGCGGTGGCGGATGCGGACGCAGCCATTCGGGCCTTCGGTGGGGCCCCCTGCGCGTGAGGTGTGCGTCGACATGGTGTGGAGAAGGAATGCGAACGCAGCCTCCGGGGCCTTCGGTGGAGCCCCCTATTGAGCCACGAAGCGTGTGAGGGGTGCGCCGACATGGTGTGCATGAATCATGCGACCGCATCTAGCGGGGCCTCGCGCTGACCTCCGTATGGGGCCACGAAGCGCGCGATGGGGTGCGCCGACGTGGTGTGGAGAAGGAATGCGAACGAAGCCTCTGGGGCCTTCGGTGAAGCCCCTTGTAGAGCCACGGAGCGTGTGAGGGGTGCGCCGACATGGTGTGGATGAGTCATGCGACCGCATCTAGTGGGGCCTTGCGCTGACCTCCGTATCGGGCCGCGAAGCGTGCGAGGGGTGCGCCGACACGGTGTGGAGAATGAGTGCGAACGAAGGGGCCTTCGGTGGAGCCCCTATAGAGCCACGAAGCGTGTGAGGTGTGCGCCGACATCGTGTGGATGAGTCATGCGAACGCATCTAGTGGGGCCTTGTGCTGACCTCCTTACTGATATCGGTCGGCGCTCTTGCGCCAGATACAGTGATACAAAAATATGTGTATTCGCTTAACGGCTGATCAGGTAGCGTTGTACACCCACAAGTAGCGTTGCACTCGCTCAGAGGATGATGTAATCGCATAGGTTGGATAGCTTAGTCGCAGGCGGCCCAACTAACCTAGCGCGCATCTTGGACGCATTCTGCACTTCGGCTACTTGTGACTTCTGACGCTGCCGATATTTATCTGACTTAACATCTAACTAATATCAGACTTATTTTAC